CGATGGGGGACTAGCACTAGCCGTCTTCCACATGGTCCCTCGGGTCCCTGCTGCTCCTAATCTCTTCGTACATCCTCCTGCTGATCTCCGCAAAGTCCTGCTCCCTCCCTCGTCTCACCCGGAGTGCTGGGGGGGGCGAAAGGGGGGGGCGCGGCCTTGAGTTATGTGTACGCCAACTCAGGGTGTGTGGCAGCCACGCTGGCTGTGTGTCTTGTGAGCTTCTTTGTGTCTGTGTGTTGCCCGTGTTATAACACTGTACGAGCCGGCGTCTACCACGGCGCGTGTACTCTCACGGTTGGCCGTCGCCGCACACCACGCGACGACACACGGACTGGGACCACCAGTCGCAACCAACCAGTGGAGGCCTCGCGCAAAGCGCGGGAGAGCTGTGGCTCGGGATCAGACAGCGCGCCTCTCCGCCGGAAAGGTGCTCTCCCGTGTCCACTGTGATCATCTCGACCACGGCTGCAGCCCACGCCGACTAAAAATCTGGGTGCGAGGGGAGGGGGCAGTACAGGATTGCGATGCAACCATGAGTAGGTGACGTGCGCGGATCGCCATGGTCGGCAGGGTGCGCCTCCGAGAGCGCCTTGAGGTCCTCCGCTGTGATGAGGTCCGGATCAGACCCACGTGTAGCATCCAGCAGCGCCTCATCTTGCTCGGCGGCCGTCCGGTCAGCGCCGCTCGTGTCTCCGGCGAACCCGCAGCATCGGCGGCCCGCGTCAGGAGAGCCATACAGGTATATGGCAGTCGCCCAGAATCCGCCTAAAAGCAAACCTCGGGTCCTCATCCCGGAGGTCTGAACCTACGCAACGCCAGAGAACAGACCCGAAACTCCGGCAATGGCTCCAAATTTGGTGAGAGCATCCCTCTTGTGAAGCCCGCGCATCACGCCATAGGCACCGGAGAGCGCGCGATTGCCACCGCCGTTGAGACAGAGCGCTGTTTCCCAGGTGTACTCGCCAGTGAACTCGCGGCCTGGCCCTATTCCGGTGGCCCCACCTGCGGCCGCCGGAATATGACGTCTAGCGGCCTGTTGCGACGTTTGTGCACGCTCCTGCCGCCGGCGCGCTTCGACGAAGGCCGGGTGTGGCCGAGAGCAGGTCGGAGATGATATTGACATCACGTCAGCAGCGCCGGCACGCTCGGGGCGTTGCCGCAGCACACGCCTCGTTCGCGATGAACCTCGCGCCGTTTTGACGTTCTGGAGTATTGCAATACGCACGCACGCACGCACGCACGCACGCACGCACGCACGCACGCACGCGTCCCTAAGCGCCTCTCTTTCTCTTTTGCACGCCAGAAAAGTCTCTTTTGCGCGCTAGTCCCGTGCCTAGAGTGCGTCGTAAAGTTCTTTTGCGAGATTTGTAACGACGACTCGACCTCATTCCCCCCGCCTGACGTCCATCCGTCGGCGACGGTCGGCGACGTGTGGGGGCTAAGAAGACCGCTCAGGACCCGCTGCGGCTATACCGCAACATGGATGAGATCCTCGCCAAGATTTGCTGCGACTATAAGCTGTGCGGAGGTTACGGGCTGTGGTCTCCCTGCGTCTCAAAGTTCAAGTGCCAGCAGGGCGAGGCAGACCTCGGCGTCGAGGCCCTGCTGGAAACGGCCAACACGGGTGAGTGAGTGTGTTTGATCACTCACAACTGGTGACACATCACATCACAGCTCAAACTGATCATCATGTCCCGACCAGCTATGTGTCCCTCTAGGCGACGTCCTGCTTTTCAGCACAGATAAGTGCAGCCTGACTCACGCCGGCGGCTGCACGCCCTTTCTGCATGCCGGAATGATCTACCGTCACCCCGACGAAAGCCATCCTCAAGGCGGGGAGCTGTACCTTCTGGAGGCAAGGAGCCTGCCCGAGTCCATGTTCTTCCAGTACGGCGAGCCAGGAAAGTGGGGACTTCCCGTGAAGCCGACTCCCTTCGACGCGGCCTACCCGTACCCAAAGGATAAGGTCAACGGGCCGCAGGTGGTGCCGATCAGGACAGTCTTCACCAAGGCGCCACAACGAGCGTCCACCCCTCGCGGGCGGCGTGAATCCCGCCGGGCTATTTCCTTCGCCGCATCCTGACGTCACTCCTTTCGGCGATCGCTCGCAGGAGTTTGTCGACGCCGTGGGGCATCCACTGGATGAGGAGGAGCAGGCAGCTTGATAGTGGAGCGTGAGTGTGTGTACACACACACACACACACACACACACACACACACACACACACACACACACACACACACACACACACACACACACACACACAGAGAGAGAGAGAGAGAGAGAGAGAGAGAGAGAGAGAGAGAGAGAGAGAGTGCGCAGCATCGATG